TTGCTTTCTCTTCATTTTATTTCACTCATAAAGCTTCCTCTATAAGGAAGCCATATTATTTTATATTAATAATTATGTTGCTCTACTTTAAAAACAAGCTGGCTTTGAATAGGAACAATGCTAACAATCTGTAATTATGAGGAAGCAACGTGCAAGTTTCTGACTTGTACACTTTTTTTATTTATTATGATAGGAGATAAAATTAATTCAAATTAATTCAACTTTAATAAATAATTGGCAATAATTTTGATAATTCTGTGTTCACTATTAGTTGCAAAAATGATAAATATGCTTTGACATGTAAATTAAAAAACTGCTAACAAAAGTTGTTATGTTTTTACTTCTAAGTGTATTGCTTTGAGGCTTTATTTATTAAAACACTGCAATTATTGTAATACATGCTGCTTGATGATATTAAATCCTGACGATATTTTAATATAATTTTATTTTTAATTTGGATCCTTATACGAAGCGACTCGTCTTGTTTCGATAGAAACAAACTATAAAAACTAAAGAAGATCTTATTATCTTTTCCTGATAAGGAGAGACATATGAAAGAAGACAAATGTTTGTTTTACTTTAAAACTTAAGAGCACTTAAAAAATTCCAGATGCAATGGAAACAATAAGGAGAATAACTTTAAGAGTTATCCTGTATAATTGCAAACCTTATAACTTTAAACGTTAAAGTTAACCACATGAGATAAATCTTCTTCAAAGTTTATTTCCATAATAACTTTAGACTTGAGATCGAGAATTATAGAAAAACTTCAAAGTTAATGTTTTCTTACGGATTATCTAAGATTTAATAAAATTACTTTAAAGCTACTTTTTCATTCCTTTAGAGTACCTGAATACTATTTTAAAGTCAGTTTTTAAAACCTTTGGTTTACTAACGAGATTATTTTAAAGTCAGTTTTGAAATACTGGAAACTTCTTAGATCATTTTAGATTAACTTTTTACACACTTTACATTACCTGAAAATTCCTTAAGTAAACTTTTATATTTTAAAGATTACTTTTACAGCTAAAATTACAATAAAATTAAAAGATGAAGAAAAAAGTGTGGGGTGTGTGTGTGTGTATCAGCGATATATTTTCTCGCATATAAGATAAATACGATACTTACCACAGAATTGTGTGTGCCAAACGCCCAAACGCAGACGCATTCTGCGTCCTGATAAAGTATAGTGTGATCACCGTTCACGTACTTACCTTAATGCGATAACATTGAGAAAACTTAGAATACGATATGTTCCATTACATCGTCCACGTACTTATCTTAAAAATATAATAACACTAGAAATTCCTTAGGATGAATCATTTAAAGTAGACTAAAACTTTCCAAAAAGGTAATAAAAGACCCTCTTTTTAAGTCCTGTAAAAAGTCAAGTCTCGGAGACTGCAGAAACAGTTCCCAACAGTTCCTCGACAGTTCTTCAAAACGCAGTGCTTATTTAGAACATAGTTTATACTTTATTGTATAAATTTAAATCGATTGTAAGTAAAAAGTTGTGCTATAAATACCTTTTTTGTGGAATGAGAATTATCTACAGTATAGTCAACGCCCACCGACTCTTGACGTAATTGTCCACAAAATAGCTATGTTTAAAAAGTTAAAATGTAAGAGAATAAAATATCATACCCTATAGAAGAATACTGTCACAATTAAAAAAATTCAAGCCTATAAAAAGTATGCCTAAAATGTTATGTGCTATAATTATAGTGTCACAAGTTTATAGGTAAAATTGGCTGCACAAGGCAAAAGTATTACTCTTTTTAATTGATTTAAAATTATTTTATGCTTGAAGCTTTTCTTTATTTGAAATGTATGATAATATTTATTAATCGCTATATTGCAAACAATAATTAAATTAAAACTGATTCGTGAGATGCAGTCGTATTGTGACAATAAAATTTTAGAGAAAAATTTCTGAAGAATTTATTTGCGGATATCCGCAATAGCGGATAGATATTCAGACGATAAAGAAATGCCACGGTTGCAAAAATCGCCTAAATAGGCATAAGGAGCTTCGCCTATTTTGAGCTATTCGAGTTCAGTCATCAATTATATGTATATAATGTTGTAGATTATTATGGTAGTATTAAATAAAAAATAGTTTTAGATCTTTAAACTCCCACCGGAAGCAGTTCTGACCTCCTAATAATGTCATTTTACTCGTTTGATAGCTCGTCATCAGAACTGTCCAAGATGACAAATGCGTCATTGCTATGTGCAGAAGATATCTGTATATTTGAAAAAAAATAATAATAATAAACAACATCGTTATCATGGACATCACTGACTGTGTCATTGATCCCGAAATAAATACACGATGTTTACACGCTTACAATCAACTAATGATTTTTTATTTTATAATTGAACATGAGTCCCAGAATTCTAATTTTTGTTTTTATCCTTGCCTAAAGATTTTTTTTTGTGTCCAAGCCACCTTCTCGTGATAACAGCGGTAACAAACAAATGTTGAATATTTTTTTCGGTATATTTGTTGACGCATTTGCTTAGCTAAGTTCTTGGTTCTATATTTAATTAAGTTAAGCAGGCATTAATTTTACTAATCTATATAATCAAATGTTCCGACTGACTCATCAACACCCAGTCCAAATCTCTACGCCTAGAAACATGAAATTCGGGGAGTATATTCCTTCCATGACGTAAGCACCTACTAAAAAGAGATTTTTAAAAATTTGACTTCTAACAGGGTGAAAAGGGATAAAATGTGTTTTCACGAATTCTCTCTCTTCGACGGGCAACGCCGTCAAGCTTAAGCTTAAGCTAGTTTATTATAATGTCATGGTAAAAAGAATCAGAACTAGTGACACAATTAGTGATGTTCAATGTTTATACAACGATACCAATAAAGTCTGTCCTGAGCGGAGGAAGAGCGTAAAGCGGCATTTATATATATATAGATATTCAGTGTACCATCTACCATCTGAGCATAGCAATGACGTCTTTGTCATCTTGGACAGCTCTAATGATGAGCCATGACATTATTAGGAGGTCAGAACTGTCTCCGGCGGAGGTTGGAGGATCTAAAACAATTTTTTGTTTAAGGGTCCATATACCTCAGTCGGTCTAAAAAATAGGTGATTTTTGTGAATTTTTTATGGCGAAAGTGAACAAAATAAATCATTCAATATTTTTGGATTATATTTATGATACTTTTAAGTAGTTATACAAATTTTTTCAGCCTATTTAAATAATTTGGCGAAGCGGGATACTGGGCAACGCGCGGAATAGGTTGCTCCATGGCGGAAGTCCTCCAGGTCGTAAAATGTGTCTGAAACATCGAATCAATCGATTTTCCTGTTCAGTACAAGTGTCCCTATAGAGTAGACTAAAAAAAATTATTTTGAATAAAAATTCATAAAATAGCGGCAATTCAAAAAGAAAAATTAATTTTCACTATAAATTTTTGATACTTTTTTGCTTATAAAAAATTAAATATTGCATATATCGATATGATTGTAGTCTACTCTATAGGGACACTTATACTGAACAGGAAAATCGATTGATTCGATGTTTCAGAAACATTTTACGACCTGGAGGACTTCCGCCATGGAGCAACATATTCCGCGCACAGATCACCGTTACCCAGTATCCCGCTTCGCCAAATGGGCTGAAAAAATTTGTATAACTACTTAAAAGTATCATAAATATAATCCAAAAATATTGAATGATTTATTTTGTTTACTTTTTCCACAAAAAATTCACAAAAATCACCTTTTTTTGGACCTACTGAGGGATATGGACCCTTAATACTACCATTATACTACCATATACTACCATTATATACCTACAAATTATATAAGATTGATGACTACGTCCAGATAGCCTAAAATCATTTATAAAAATGGGCAAAGTTTTTTGAATCCGCGTGCGTAAAGTAAATTCACTTGACTTGCGACATTCCTTCCATATTTCATCATTTTGACCTCATTAAAATTCCATACATTAGCGACAATGGAAACACTAGTAACAGTGGCAAATTAACTTTTGTTAGAATAACAAACACTTTCTAAATATTAAAAAACTAACATCTGCGAAGTACCGATAATCGACCAAAGATAAACAAAAATTAACAGAATTTCAAAGAATTTGTAAGTCAATAAAGATTAATTAATAATGCTTAAATTTTCGGGAAAAAAAGTCTCAATTTCTTTGTGCTTTGTGTTTCGAATTTCAATACATAATTAATAATCAAAATTTCCGACTCTTACCGCAATACTTGGACAATACAACGGACATACAAAATATCTTTGATAAAGACACGTAAAATCGCTTTTTACTTATAAATAATCGAAAATAAATAATCGAATCTAATTACTTATAATTAATCGAAAATAATGTGCACATGCTAGTGTCCTTCATGCAATAGTAAGTAGGTAAATATATTTGCATGCAGTGTTTTCCGGAGTTTTTACATCTGAAGGTGCCAATTCATGAGACGCTGAAAATGAGCGTCAACAAGGTAAACGTGGTGGTTTCATCGCTTTGACGCTAGCGTCAAAGAAATGAAGTTGAATTTGTTTAATGTTCAGCGTCGTCGCTGAATCGTCGTTAATCGTCCTAGTACAATCAAACATAGACTTCGAAATACGTAAAATATTAATTATTTTCAAGTAATATCTTCAAGTAATAATATTTTATGGATACATATATAAATAAAAGATATTATTTCTGAAGATTTTTACTTGCTGAAAATGAGCGTCGAGCGTTAACGTGAAAAGGCACCTTAATACATCTCACAAAGGCGTTGTTATTTTGTTAGTCCGTCATTATTGCCTGAATACCGACGCAACTGCATAAATGAGAAATTTGCAGAGACGGCACGCGGAACAGTCTACCATGAGTCCACTAAGTACGAAGCTATTACTTGTACTCTGTTTGACAATATGTCAATATACTGAAAGTCAGTACTTGGGAAGCGAATCTGGAAACGTCACATACGACAGTCTCATCGTTGCTGTCGATCTTGACGCGAATAATGGTAAGCAAAAACAAAAATTGAAACAGTTTTAGTTAATTTTATCAATATGATTTAATATAATTACTTGCTGCAAGTTATTTATATTATTTTATGTAACACGTGCTTGGAAAGTGGCCCATTACGCACGCTACGCGTACGTGATAGACCACTTTCCACGCACTTGCAACATAAAATAGGGTGTGCAAGCCGTGCATAAAGATGAAAATTCCCGGGTGCGGTGACCGCACTCGTGTCCAATTCTCAACTTCCCGCACTTGTTACACAAATAACTATTGTAATACATCAAATAAAAGTTTTTTCTGTAATAACATTCTGAATATAGTTGCATATGTAGCATCGTTAATTTGCAATTTAAAGTGGTTACGCAATAACATAATATTTTAATATTTTAAATAATATTCTACTTAAATATATATAAGATAGCTTTTTCAGCCGCGCTTCGCGCGGGCTCAAAAGTTCTTTCTTTGTTTCCCCGAATAGTAATATTTACCCCCAAAAAAAATTTTTTTGAAAAAAGGGACTTTTTTTAGACAATTTTGTATGGGGGCTTCTTGTCCCCGGGCTCAGACCCCTTCTCAAAACCTTCTACAGTCTAAGTTAGAGTATCATGAGATAGTATACCAAATTTGGTTGTTCTAATTTGAAAACTGTAGATTTTCATAGCGAACAAACATACATTCATTTATATATATATATATATATATATATATATATATATATATATATATATATATAGAGAGAGAGAGAGAGAGAGAGAGAGAGAGAGAGAGAGAGAGAGATAGAGA